TTTTATGGTCATTACCTATCATATATATATATATATATATATATATATATATATATATATATATATATATATATATATATATATTACAATGCATCATTCATACAAAAAAGTAAATTAGTAAAGTTACTGAGATAAAATGGCGAAATCCTTCGCTAGCTAAATTTTAAAGATGCATTAATCCACTAATCACTCGATGAATGTAATGATCCTTGTTTTGTTTTTTTTTTTTAATTATAAACTGTATTAGGTCTTCCTTAAATATGCAAGTAATTTCGACAGATCCCCTAGTTATCCTCAGGCATGGAAACTATTTTGTTTGTAGTAAAATTCAGATAGCATCCGAGACGAAAAAATATAATGCAAATCGAAATATGTTTTATTTTTTTAAAATGTGTTATTGATAACAGATACAAAAAAAAAACATATTTCGATTTGCATTCTATTAGCTAGCTTTGTATGCATGTCGAAAGCCGACCAGTTTAATTGTAACTAGCCATATTTATAGGACTATGAATAACGATGTACCTGTTAAAGAAACAGTGAAAACTGTAACTTGAGCTTAAAGCATCAAACAATTGGCTAACAAGAAACGTATGCTGAACATTCTTACAAATTATAAAATAAACTTGTTTATATTGAAAAAGGAAGAAATAAGGAACGCGTACTAGTTTCGCCGGTACTGACACGGTTTCAAACATCCATTTCAGTGTCCTGTTAGATATATAAATGTTGGAATACAGAAGACGATTATCTCCCTTTGGTTGAGATAAGTCATGTGGGTCATGTTACAGCCGGTTAAAAATATCACTTCATACAGTGACGAAAGTGGCCAGTCATTCAGTTTGTTTACAGAGCCAAACCAAGCTACTGATTTTTTTGTCTGGGCCAAAGGCTGCTGCTAAATCTACCTCCTCCAACAAATGCTAAAGTTTACAAGTTCATGGTGCCGTTTCCCCTTGATATTATATCTTTCCCTCATAGAAATCTGTGACTCACAAACCTCATTTGGGAAACCCCAAGTCTCACTGCTTCCTCTTCGTAGAATATGTCCTCGCATGAGGTATAGTAGATGAATCCGACCCGTTTGAATCTGGAGTTACAAACATAACTTCCGCAGAAACACAGAAGAATCTCCATATTATATGTAAGACCCTATCTTTTCGTTTTCTTTACACTTTGCTTGCCGTAGAGATATATGTGCTATATATTTATCTGCATGGACCACTTGTAAATATTTATATATGATTTTGTTTTGTTTATGGTCTCTCTGAGAAAAAAAAAAGTCATTCCTTTTCCTTTCAATTATTCTCTTCCGTTCGTTGAAATACGGTATTATTATAGCATTGATATAATGATGCGCATAATGGGGGAAATTAAAATAGGAGAATAAACCACTCTTCCTGGGTCTCTCCAGTTATATAAGTATTCAGCAATCGATATTTCTGTCTCGGCCCTATAGACATCGATTACTTTAATATAATTTTTAGACTTTAATATAAAACAATACCAAAGCTAAAATAGGTGATTATGAGAGAGTTAGAATTTATAACAGGATTCATTATTGGCGGATGCAATCTTAACATAAGATATACAGATTACAAAGTGTTGATAGCAAATACTGAAAGGAAACTACGAGAACTCCTACGGGATGTAGTGAAGAAAGCGAGGAGAAAGGACTAAACATCAATTACAAGAAGACTGGATCCATAGTTGTTAGCAAAAGGAACAGCCCAACATGCAACTTAGAAATTGTTGATCAAACAGGTGGAGCAATTTAGATATAAGGGAAGCATTTTAACAGAGGACGGAAAGTGCGACACGGAAATCCGAAGGCTCTTTGTGATAGTGAAAGATGCTTTCTAAAACCTAAGTAAAGTATTAAGAAACAAGAAAATATTGTTAGAAACAAAGAAAAAACTACTGAACTATTATGTAATATCAAACTTGCAATATGTTAATGAATGAAGGGCAATGATCTCACAGATGAAAAGATTTGAAGTAGTGGAAATGTGGTTTTGCAGAAAGAAGCCGAGAATATCATGGACTGAATATGTGAGCAAGTACGAAGTTCTAGAGACAATAGCAACAAGGTCACTTATAGTTATTAGAAAGAGACAGAGGAAAGCAACGCATAATCTACCTAATGAGCTTGATGAATGAATGAATGACGGATTACTGTTGGGGAAAGATGGCAAAATTTTAAGAGCTACAATCGACAGGAAATTGTGGAGAGCTATGATTGCCAACGTCTTGAAAGAACATATCACATAGAAGAAGTTAAACATTAATAGACAGTCAGCTGCTACAGTAATATCTTCCATCTTTTGACCACCAGAAAAGATAGGAACCAAAAATCTATGATAATTTTGTGAAATAAAATGTATTGCCATTTTCACAAGCTAAGATTTTTTTTCGAGTTTCCAACATAGAAGTAATATTAAAAAAAAAAAAAAAAAAAAAAAAAAAAGAACTAATATAAACCAGTCTATAAATTGTGTTTAGCTTCGTTGGCGTTAAGCCAATCAGTAACCGCGTATGTAAACATTCTCTTGTATTAACCAATCGGAGGCGATCTTGCATCGGTGGTAAAGGGATACAGCGGCTTCCCCGGATGAAAAGTAACGTCTATCAAACAAAGGAAAATATGCGTTTTATTTGTTTTTTTAAAACCAAGTAATCTATTGTGATACTATTTAACGGTAAAACACATTTCAAATTTTCTTTAAAAAAGTAAAAATATTTGGAAGAAAATCAAACAGAAATTCGGTCGCAAAAACTGAATTTGCTTGAGATGATAAACCCTTGAAATAGAGTTTTACGTCAATCTATTATAACCGTTAACTAGAGAATATTGGGCCTCAAACTCACACCCGAGGTCAAGTGGAACTCTTATATACGATCCATGGCTAATAGTTCAGGTAAAATGATCGACTCCAGTAAGTAGCGATTTTCTAAGCGTAGCTTGGATGTGGCATAAGGCCGAAAGTAAGGGGCACCCAGTGAGGATTGAACTCACTACTCATCCGTAATTGTTCTAGCGAGACAAGCCTGATAACCATTACGCCACCTCGAGGTTCCCTCGACTCCAGTAAGTACCTGATATCTCATGTTATCCTCTAATTTTATAAGTAACGGATAAGGCCGAAAGTGAAGTACTGTTGCCATATTTAGGCGAAAATTGCCCCGTCCTCACTTTCCAGTCTTGATAGAATTCAAAATCGTCTCCGAGTCCTCTCTCTCACAGGCAGGATGTGTCGAGTTTCTCATTGCTCTATCACTACTTCCATGGAAAGTGATGGGATGAACTATATTCCTTGGTTCTGCCAGGTCTAAGCTTCACATCTGGGACTCGCCATGCTACTTATATAGTAGCTAACCATCAACATTCCCTCCCAAATTCCATCGGCGGGAACTAAATTCCATTCAAACAGATACTTCCCGCGAACCACTTTTTTGTGGAACAGACTCCCAAGAGGATGTTTCCTCGATCACTACAATCTTAATCTGTTCAAATCTAGGGTTAATTGTTATCTTCCCCTCCTATCAGTACAAACTACCTTTTAGCCTAACTGTCTACCTCGAGTGGACCTAGGACCTTGTACAGGTTGAAGCTTACTGTATAACCCCACCCAACCAAAAAAAAAAAAAAATAAAATAAAATAAAAAAACTGCTCACGGCATTTCTTCTATGTCGTGACTACCAGAGCAGATAGGAAGTAAACCAGCACGATAATTATAATTTTATCTAAGACTGGTAATCTATAGGTTATATTTGTATCATTGTATTTGCTTAGCAATCTGCTCACAGTCGAGTGTGCATTTACAAAACATGTCAGCTACACCCAGATTTAAAGATATCTATAAATATTCGAGAATTCTGCGACTGCAATGGTATTCTAAACAATTATTCATTATTGAATTAATGTTGTTTTCTGAGAAAATTAAGGGAAAATATTTTCAGTTTAGTTACAAAATACCTTTTATTTAAATCTGGACACGCTTCTAAAATAAAATCGTTGTTTACGTGTACATTTTAAAAATAAGTTCTCATAGATCATTTGCAGTTATAGTCAGTACTACAAATTCATATATATTAGGTTGGTCAGGAAGTGATGACTCACACAGGAAACGGAAAGAAAACAACAAATCTTGATCTCTGTCTGATGGAATTTCCAAGGAGTATTGTATTTTGAGCTTGTTTCACACAGTCGCGTCATTAACTCTAAACTGTGTTGCCAGCAGATAGACCGCGTATACGACAAAATAAAGAAGGAGTATCTTCCTTTAGTCAATCAAGGTCGGGCTTTGTTTCAGCAAGGCAATGCGAGGCCACACACTGGAGGTTGACTAAGAAGTTCAAACTGATGGATGGTGTTGAGATTCTTTCACAACCACCATTTTGTCACGATGCTGCTCCAAGTAATTATGGCTTATTCCGCTCAATGACACACTTCTTCTGCTAGTGAGCGAAACTTGTTTACAGTTTTTTTTTTAATTCAAAGCCAGCGGACTAGTTTCTGGAACAAAGATCGTCGAAAATGTTAGACTTCATTTTGAAGAATAAATGTTGGTGTTGCTCCATAAAATTTCGTAGTGTTCTTTCCTCTTCCTAAGTGAGTCAGAACTTTCTGGCAAACCTAATAAATATAAACCCTTAATATTAAAAAATACAATAAAACTCAATTAATACTTACTGTAGAAAGTCCATAGATAATTTTTAAAATAAGGTATTTTGTAGCCATTCCGTTGGAATGTAAGTTGGTTGACTCGTTTTCTACGGTTTATCAACCCTTTGAAGATTATTTAAAGCCAGAACATATTTTTTGATTGTAAGAATATATTTTTTGATAAATAATTAACCCAGAGATGGGGGAGAAGAGGTGGATTTTTATCTTTCGCAAGGGTATTTGCGCGTAAGTGAATATAACAAACGTAACGGGAATTGGAACTCGGCCTTCCGATTAAAAATTCCGTGCCATTGCACCACATGCACATCCGAGCTTGCTGCAGCTGGTATTCAAAAACAGTCACCCATCTCGGTACTGACCAAGATCAACGTTGCTTAACTTCGGTGATCGTACGGAAACCGGTGATACAACGTGTTGAGGCTGTAAATCTTCGGCTGGGATGACATGGTTGGTAGATGGTCAACACCGAAAAACGTCATTGACTAGATGACCTGCGAGCAGCATAATGGTCATTGACTAGATGACCTGCGGGCAGCATAATGGTCATTGACTGGATGACCTGCCGACAGCATAATGGTGATAGGTAACTGTACAGTCAATTGCAATGAGGATAATATATATGCCAGCTCACCAAACAGTATCTCTTGTACATATTTGTGCATCTGATTTGTGCAATGATTAACTATTCCAGTGTCGGGGGTTAACATGATTTAGCAGAGGAAAATGTGTACTTAAGAGAACGGAACAATTCAGGAAAAGTTCCGAAATATTTTGTCTATTGACAATATATTTGAAAGTGAAATTAAAACCTAGAAATTGACATTAAATTGAATAATATTAAATCCTTATGCCACATACAAATTGCTATTTTAGTTCGTTTTGATATAATTTCCAGTTATTTTACATATCTGTTTTGGCTTAAAAAGTTGCTAACCGGCAAAACAAATAATTAGATGGTCAATTTGAAAAAGAAAAGTTTATTGAAAAGAGCCTAAAATAGAAAGAAAAAAAAAGACTTCGTAACTGAAGACTTTGTGACGCACCTCAGTAGAATAATGCACGCATACTTGGGCTGAAAATGTCTCTTCGTGTATTTTCAAAATCTAGCATAGCGTCGAAGTACGAGGGTGGGGTGAAAAGTGCATAGGCTTCCTACGGAGGAGTGAAGCTAGAGCTGTGAAATTTTACATGCATTCATTTCAATTTGTTAATAATTAATTGTTTATTTCTATGTAAACTGACGTTAGACTGTTCAAAGAAGTCTTCAGATGTAACTAGTAGTGACTTCTATTTTAAATGGATAAAATTTGGCAGATGATTTTATTTCAGTATTTCTCAATGAAGAACAAGATTTCAGCTTGGCAAAAAGAATATCTCGTTTCTAGGGTTATATTGTGATGCTATTTGAAATAAAATTTAAATCTCTAGATAGTGGTCAAGAATCGTAAAAATATACTACACTGTGTACAAATAGTTGAATTAACCACATATATTATGAATAGCTGATTGTCATGTGAGAGTAAGTGATGATTTGCTGTTTATTCCTATAAATATGAACTAGATCCCATAACAGAATTCAGTATTATATGCTCAGCAGTAGAGTTGATTATGAGAAAAATATGTTCAATGTTTTACCAACAAATCTTTGATTGCTACTCGACCATGATGACTATATTTATCAACCTATTTTGTGTTAAACTGATAAAGATTAAAGATGGCGAAATATACTTTATTTTTACTGTTTAGTCTATATTTCCATCGATCCTTTTACGATTTACCTGAATTGTCTCGTTCTCTTCTTTTTTCTTGGTTTATGATTCCTGGTTTTGAAGTTCTCCAAATCTCTTAGTTTTTTTCTCTCCAAGGCATTCCCAACAATTTTGGTTCCCGCTTTTATTGCTGTTGCAGTCTTTTTCGTTTCTTTCTTTTCACGTTATCATATTTAAGTCTTCCTTTCTTTTTTTGTGTTTTCCAAATATCCTTCATCTTAATGTATATGCATAAGTATGTGTCGTTATATATATATATATATATATATATACGGGCCTCGCTGACAGAAAAGAAACTGACTAGACTCGATATAGCGCCGCTACTCACAAATTCCGTGGTGATATTCATCCAAGTATTCAAACCCAGTTTCTTCTTTGCCACCGAGTCCCGTTGGTCTAGTGGAATGACGTTTGAACAGTCGGGTTCGATTCTCGTTAGTAGATGCGCACTGCTGAAGAGTCCCAAATGATGAGTTACTATATATATATATATATATATGAATAAAGACTAAAAGAAAACTATTCTTAGCCGATGTGAGGACGAAACAGGTCGGCTAAAATAGTTTTCATTTTATCTTTATTCATACAGGGGTCGATGGATAAATTGTCGTCTAAATTACGCAAAACGGAAAATAGCACTGACATTTCATTTCAATAGATTTATTAACCAAAATTATATAAAAATATGTTGAAATACTAAATAAGAAAAAATATTCAATAAAATCGCCACTGGGTTCAACAACAGCCTCCAGACAACTTCGGAATCTCCTGCATCTCTTCTGGACGGTCTTCTTATTTAAGTTGTTGAATGTTTATATAATCCTTGCCTTCAGTTCATTTTTGGTGTTATAAGGTGTTTTGTTGGTTTCTCATTCAAATGTTCCGCACACATAATAATCAAGTGGGTTGCATTCTGGGGAGTTAGGTAGCCAGATGTAAGGATGTGGTCGCAGAGATTGTCTTACATTCAGGAATGGGTTCTCTTGCCTGTGTAGCATGGTGCAGAATCCTGTTGCCAGACATAGATTCATCCAGTAGCCATCGTCTTGACCCAGGGCAGCACTACCTCTTCAAGGCATTTGATGTAGGACTCCGTAATGAGTCTGAATCCCCGTGGGAACATGAATGCAGGCATAACGTCGACATCAGCAGTGGTATTCTCCAAACACCTTCGCAATCACCATTAGATTCATCCAATGTCCTCAGATAAACACCCAAACACTCTAAAATGTTCGTATTCCGGTGAGAATGCCAAGCAGTATAGCATGTCGTTTCCAAATTTCTGCTGGAGTGAATTGCGTCAAGGTGGTCTTTTTCTCACAGACGGTGTCCAACTTACCCTACAATAATGTGCAGTCGATAAAGTCAAAAACAAACAACGCGCATGCGCAAATTTAAAAATATAAAATAGCGACATTTTACCCGTCGACCCTCTCTGACTCTCTGTCCACACATACACATACGCGCATACCCATACGTGCACACCCATACACACACACACACACACACACACACACACACACACACACACACATATATATATATATATATATATATATATATATATATATATATTTCGAGCCTGATCACCCTAAGTTGAAAATGTCCATGTAAATAGAATTTGCTCCAGTATAAATCCAAGCAAAAGTAGCAATGAAGCTAGTGACAAAAACGTTTGGAATGCTAGAAAGAAAATTGAAGAATAATGAAGCATTTCTTGACATTGCAGCCTGAACATTTGTATATACTTTACCTTCTTCCGAATTCAATAAGAAGTTTCTCAATTCGTGAATTTCTGAAATCAGAAGTACATGCCGAATCACTGCATGAACACATTATGAAAGCAAAAATATCGTAATCAGCTCCATCATACACATAGAGCTATCTCAGCTGGATCAATTATGGTGGGATCAAATGAATATTTTATCAAATAAGATTTCTCCCTTCTATGAAAATCAACTCCGCACTGGCCAGTTTAGTTTTCACTCTCGCAATGGGTGTAATGATAGCATCTATGTTTCAAACAACTCTCGGAAATTACTTAACACCCTCTATCAAGTATTTCAAGAAACAGGACTCAAGAGAAGCCTTTCCAAAACAGAAATTATGACCTAGAAGTGAAATGAAAGCAGATTATTTCGTCAGATCGAGACTTTGTCATGCATGCCACCAAACACATTTAGAAATTGTCAACTGTAGACGATCGGTTTCTCAAATCAGTGATTAAAAAAGGCTTCACGCCATCTTGGCAACTTTCGACAACAACCATAGCTAAAATGGATAGTACGTATCACTCAAAGATAAAATAATAAAATAATACAAAATATTAAGAAGGAAGCTCTCCTAAATGCTGCAAATGGTGATAATAGTTACGGAATTTGAGAAACTTATTTTCCTGAAAAATATTTAAATGAAAACTGTAGCACTGTCTGCTCGGTCAATGAATTCTTCATCTTTCCTTTTAAGGAAACGTTTAATATTACCATAACCATTATCACAAAGATCTGTCTGTGTCTGTATCTGGATAGCGATATGTTTTTAATTCTTTTTTGCATCTCTCTATTCCGGAACCAGAATTACCAGTTGTGTGCAACACTAATGGAAAAATTCCAAATCCATTTTAATTTTTCATATTCTTTTTACTTTGTACAAAAATCTAAGTGAATTTTACATTTAGTTTGACTTCGAAACTACTATGTTTTCTTGAATTTTATGTAACCCGATCCCTGCGAAATGTTGTATCGATTTTACAAGTCATTAGAAACGACTTGGAGACATGTTATCCCATGTCGTTTCTATATTCTTTCGACAGCTTCTTGATATTTGTAGCTACATGAATTTGCATGTGAATGCACCTTTTCGCAAAGTCCCTTAAATATTCTCTTTGGTTCCTGTCACGCTATTGTGTCGGCGATATCATTCTTGGGAAATCTCTAGAATGCTCTTCAAACTATTTCTAGGAAAATTGGGACGATGACTCCTGCTAGAATAACCCATTGCTGTTGGAGAACACGGATCAAATGAATGAGCGTAAATGGTCACAAAGCAAGCAATGTCACTGTCATCGGCCAATGACATGCTTAGGGGAACTAGTAGGCCCAAACCCCGCTACGCCAACAACGCCACGCTCAGTTGGAAAATAATCACCAGCCTGCGTGATACCTTGCAAACAACTCTAATTTCATACCATTCCAACAACTTGGTACAGTCCTGTTAGCGCTCGTCAATGGGGTTCGAAGAGAGATGACTTACAGCCGTATCCCGTTGAAAAACTCTGGTTCTCCTATGATCAGCGGTTAAGCAACGTCGAGTCAAGTCATTACTTAGATGAATAACCCTTTGAGAATACCAGTTGCTGTAAGCTTGGGTGTGCGGGTGGTGTAATGTATAATGGCTCGGAGTTATTAATCGGTGAGCAGAGATCAAATTCCAGTCAGGTTGGTTATATTCATTTAGGCGCAAATGCCCCTGTGGAATCAACCTCTTCTCCTCCTAGCTATGGGTTATTTAGTAGAATTGTAGCAGTAAAATCGAAAAAAATCTTAGAATCTAAAAATATTTTCTGTAAAACCGTAACCCCCGCCCCCCAAAAAATCAATCGACGACACATGGTCTTCACTAAGACCTAAATCATTTGAAGC